CGGAGGGCGACGCGGCCCGCCCCCCCCCCCCCCAATAGCTAGCAATCCAGAACAGTCCAGTGGAGCCTGAGTGGTGGGTGTTGCCTTCTGACACACTTCCGGTGATGTCAGCGGGTGTGGCATATATGCAAATAAGTTATGCTAATGTGTTATGCTAATGAGCTCCTGAACCTCTTTTTCTACGAAATGACCCCTGTTAAAAACTATAACTAAGCTAAGGCCCTGAAGAAAAGAGACTAGCTGGGATTTTGACGGACTAAAGGCCTGAACGATGACCTGCTTGGAATTGCAACTGCTAGCAACGTAGAGAACAGCTGAGCTCTGGCCTTCGACTCTTGAAATTAAGGTTTGTGCCATCTAACACAAGCTCTAAAAACATCAGATAGTTAAGCTAGTTCGTTTGTTTTCGTGCTGCATGATTTTAGAGTCCTATGTTGTAGAATACATTTTTATATGGATTTAAAAAACTGAAATGAACTTTATAAACCTTTTAAAAAATTAACAACAGCCTGGCTACTTGTATACAACTGCCCTGGGGGACCCACGGGGTTTGGCCTAGAATTCCTTGACAGGCTAGTTCACTCAAGAAAATGAGGCAAGCCCAAGGAGCTAGAAGCACCACTGGAGCTGGGGATGTGGGGGGAGGACCCACGCAGCCAGGTCTGAGGTGAGGCCTTAGAGCAGTGGCAGTACCACTGCACTTCTCTCTCTGTGTTGATAACCCTCGTCTTTCTCCTCCCTTTTGTCTGCCGGCCTCACCAGCATCTTTGCAGGGAGACTTTGTGGGTTATTTGGCACTTGGCCCCAAAAGACTGTGCGGTGGATGAGAGGCAGGCGGGCAGGAGACGCTGTGACAGGTATGGTGATGGAAAGAGCACCTTCCGGGTGTCTTCGCAGCCAGAGACTCCAGGGAGGTGCTCTTCGCCAGACAGACAGCATCCATTCCCAGCTGACTGAAAGACACACTAGCCCTTTGACGTATAAACGCCTCTTGACCGGAGGGTCCAGGGCTGCTGGGCTTGAGTCCTGGGACACAGAGCCCAGATTGGCTAAGGGTCCTGGAGAACATGTGGGGTGGAGCCAGAAAAGGGGAGCTGCTACTCCGTGTGGTTGCTGGGAGTTTGTTTCGCAGTGTCGGGAGCAGCTGCCTCTCCTGTGTGTCTTTCCATGATGACGACAGACGGGAATGATGGTAAAGACGGTTGCAGATGCACCAGGGAGCGCAGTGCAACTAAAAAAGACAGATTATACCAGGGGTCCCCAACCTTTTCCAGCCTGTGGGCACCTTCGGAATTCTGATACAGTATGGCAGGCACAGCAACAAAACGGAGCCAGCCACAAAAATGGCTGCTACAGCTTACCTTCAGTCATACAGAGACGATCCTTCTACACCAATTTGGTGTAGTGGTTAAGTGCGCGGACTCTAATCTGGGAGAACTGGGTTTGATTCCCCACTCCTCCACTTGCACCTGGCTGGATGACCTTGGGCAAGCCGTAGTTCTGATAAGAGCTGTTGTTGAAAAAGAGCAGTTTCTGTCAAGAGCTCTCTCAGCCCCGCCTACCTCACAGGGAGGGTATCTGTTGTGGGGAGGGGAAGGGAAAGGAGTTTGTAAGCTGCTCTGAGACACCTTTGGGTAGTGAAGGGCGGGGTATAAATCCAATCTCTTCCTCTTCTTCTACTGTGGTGGCAGATGCTGCCAAAGCAATATAATCAAAAAACTGTAGAGCCAACCAAATCTTCAGTGCCCGTTCAGAAACCTTGCTGGCAAGGTCCCTACTTGACCATGCCCACTTTCTGAAAACACTTGGAGGGCACCAGAAAAGGCATCAGCGAGTGCCATGAGATATACCATGGATTGTAAGTACCCAGCCAGTAACTGTCCTTTTATTTTGCTTAGGGCACCCTAGATCTGTTCTTGCCGTGTCCTGAGTTTGTGCCTTATAGAAATAAAGTTGTTTAATTATAGTCTATACAAGTCACCCACCTGCCTTGGATGCTGGGCATGATACAGGGATAAACCCCTGTGGAGTCAGCCTCAGGAGATCCAGGCGAGAGACACGGGCTGGGTTTTACCCCAGGGGGTGGCGGCGACAGTCAAATGGTAGGCAAGACAGCGGCGAGTCTTGCCCTGCATGTTGACCGAGATCATGACAGATGGCTTACCCCTGCTCTCTAGATTTCCTTATTCTGCACAATTTAACTTCCTCCTTTGCCCGGAGACAGGCAAAAAGTCAAGTGAAACAGTCAAGCTTCTCTTATTCCTCCCCCTCACCCCCCTGCTGAGGGAAACAGGACTGCAGTGTTGTGAAAGGGCTTCAGAAGGGCACTGGCAGGGGCAAATTGCTTTCCCTCAGTGATGAAGCTTACTTGGCATAAAACTGCCCATGGAAGAGAACTGAGTCACCCATTCACTGCCCTAAAAAGAAAAGCCACTGAAATCTTTATATTATTAGCAAACAGCAAAATTGCAAAAAAAACATTGATTTAAAAAGCCCCAACAGAAGGCGTCGCTGTGAAGGCCAGCTACTCCCCAACAGAGCAGAACACGCACAGACTGACAAAGAGGGTTTGAGAGTGCAGGTATGGAGCTACATCACAACATACATACAGAGCAATTGCCTCAGCAGATATAAGAGACTTTGGATGAGTTGGGAGTCCAGTGTTCCCTCTAAGCTGAGTTAGTCTGAGCTAGCTCACAGAATTTTAGCCTCCAGCTCACAGATTTTTGTCTTAGCTCAGGGAGGATGGCTCCAGAGCAAGCTAATTTATGCAGTAGCCAAATCATTTGCTCACAACTTTAATGCCAGCAGCTCACAAAGTAGAATTTTTGCTCACAAGACTCCACAGCTCAGAGGGAACATTGGAACTTGGGACTGTGGGGCACACAGCTGTAGATCTCCATCTTGCAAAGCGATTGAGACTTTCTCTGCCGCTAACATGTCCCATGTTTGCCTCTGCTCCTCCCTTGTACAACAAAGGGGTCTTCCGCATGCTCATTTTTGTTGCGTGTGTGTCCCTACCGCGACAGCTTTTTCTTTCTTCTCCACATGTGTTTTGCTCCCTCTAGTGGCTGACTCAATATTACATTGCCGTAGGTCTGGCATACCTCCCTGCAGATTTAAACTGCAGGTTTTCATGCTGGTCATAGTAAGGTTTCCCTTGCTCGAAAGCCAGTCGAATCCACCTCTAGGGTTGCGGTGCTCTTCTCCGTTTCAAAGCCGAAGGGCCAGCGCTGTCCGAAGACGTTTCCGTGGTCACGTGGCCGGCATGACTAAACACCAAGGCGCACGGAACGCTGTTACCTTCCCATCGAAGCGGTGCCTATTTATCTACTTGAAATTTCTTGCTTTCGAACGGCTAGGTTGGCAGGAGCTGGAGCCAGAGACGGGAGCTCACTCCGTCATGCGGCACACTCGGGTCTCGAACTGCTGAACTACCAACCTTCCACAGCCTGCAGTTCAGTGTCTTAACCACTTGAGCCACCGCAGCTCAAGTGCTGGTCATACAATGATGTCATGTTGAATTGACTGCTAGAGGGAACAAAACACGTGCAGAAAATATCGCCCCCCCCAAGCAGCAGGGACACACACAAGCAACAAAAGTGAGAGTGCGGAAGAGCCAAAGGTCAGGTTCTAGGACCTGATTCAGAGAGTTGGCACCCCGCAGATAACAACCTACAGAAATACAACGGGGCTGGCAAACAGAGACTGTGTGAAGGAAACAATTGAACTGATGCCTCTCCCAGCGTGACTGGTCTGTTGGCATATACCATATGTAACGAGAGAGAAAGAGAGAGAGAACACGAGAACAGACCTGAGCCTCCCCAAAAGTTGGATCCTAGACAGTAGAGTTGCTCCAGAGAAAAATCAAACTCCTTTAGAGCTCTCGGGAAGGCCAAGACCATAAATACAATCAAGTCCTTGAGGGGAAAAGAAAAGGCACGCTTATGCCTAGGTCTCACTGTAGTGGTAAAACTGGGTCTGTGCAGTACCATTTTGGAGCACAGGTCAGGGCTTGCATGTCTGGTTAAAAAAAACCCTTTCACCTAGAGAACCCAGAGCTTCTGACTGACATTTTACAGTTTGGACTTCTTTAATTTTTCAGATGGGAGTAGCCCATTGCATGCGTTGCCCAGCAGTCTGAAGTGGTACGCCCCAGACTCAGTGCAACGCGTTCTAGGCCACAGCATCCAATCGTATACATTCCTGAAGAAGTCCAGCCAGCACCTCTAAATTTGTGCGAAGAGAGGAAACACCTGGAGCATCTGATGAATGCTTACTTCTGAAGCATTCTGATGAATCTTACTTCTGAAGCATTCTGAAGCAATCTGATGAATGCTTACTTCTGAAAGCTAACAGGTGTCTTTGGCACATTTGGAAGGGTTAAGTCTAGCAATAACTCTGTGCGTTTGAAAGAGACCTAGCCCACAGCTTTGATAAGACCTTGGATGCTATAGGGCTGGGTGTGACTTCCCCGGCCACTAGAGCAGTGATGGCGAACCTTTTAGAGACCGAGTGCCCAAACTGCGACCCAAAACCCACTTATTTATCGCAAAGTGCCAACACGGCAATTTAACCTGAATACTGAGGTTTTACTTTAGAAAAAACAACTCATACATTAACTTAAGATGATCCAAACAAAGTAAGGAAAGCAATCCCAAATGCTTTCATTTACTTAAAATTATTTGGCAGAGAATTCGGCACTTTAATGATGGTCTGGGCCTGGCTGGGGCGACGGCATGCGTGCCCACAGAGAGTGCCATAGGTTCGCCACCACTGCACTAGAGAATTCCCACTAGTCCCACAGTCTAAGGAAGGACGCTGATCCCATCCAGCCAAGATGCTGGGAATGGAATCAGCCAATAATCACGCCCAGCTCTGCTCAGGGAGCAAGGTCCTATCCACAGATGAATTTTACAACCTCTTTTGACACCACAGGTCTACTCTGCGATGCCTCCTGTCCGCATGCAATTAAAAATACTTTTACTATCCCTTTCAAGTCATTTGACTCTAAATGCACCCGGGAGCTCAATGCGCCCAGACACCCACAGTTTCATTGTTATCACTCATTCACAATGCAAGCATTGTTGCAAAGTCCAGAATAGTCGTTTTAAGCCCTTCAGCTCCGAGGCCAGCACAGAGGGTCTCCAGCTGCTGCTTGAAATATTTCTGTTGTTGCAATCAGTGGCGGATAATTGCTTCCTTTTCAACAGCCGCTGCCAACTTCCAAGTTGACTAGAGCGCTATCCACCTCCAGAGTCATTCATCCCAACAGACTGCTGTTTCTAGGCTTCCTAGGGGTGCGATGAGGATGCCAGGAGAGTGGCTTCTGAAGGCAGGCTCGTCTCCAAGCACTGAGGTGCTCGAGGCCAGCAGAAATGTCCCTCTTGCTTCTCCTGCCAAGTGACTGACAGAACTGAGAAGTGCTGGGGAAAACGTACGCGCAACCATGTTGCATTGAACAGACGAGCGGGGCAGAGTGGTTCCGAACACAGGTTCCGTGAGGTTTCCCAATGGAGGTGTTTGGCTTCTTCAGGCCTCTGTCGATCACCACCCGATCCCTGGCATTAAGCAGCCTCTCGTCTTGCATCACCAAGGAAGCAAAAGAGGAGTGTTCCGGGGCACTTGTGTGTACTCTTGCAGCTGTTCAAGGATCGGGAAAGGCTTGTTTCCTGCAGTTCGACATTCAAGATCGGAGACTCTCCCCTGCTTCCAGGACAACCTATCTGTGCTGTGCTTGGCAATACTTTGGGGTGCCCGCGGTCCAGAGTGCCTCCAAGGTAAGACCAGTTTTATCACCGGTTTCGGCAGCAAAAGGTGCCGGATCCGGCATCTGGGAGTGCTTTGGCAGGCCTGGGTGCGGCTCGCTACTCCTTCCTGCTCAAGCTGAGCTGACAGGTTGTGCTTTTAAAGCGGAGGGAGCCAGACAGTCAGGGAGCACAGAAGGGTCCGCTCAGTTCCAGGGGAGAGCAAACAACAAATAAAGTCAATGAACGGTAGTGGGTGGCTGACAATCAAGTAATGTTGCGGGGACCTCCCCTCCTCCTGGTCTCTTGAGGTATACCAAATGCTCTCCTGTTCCTGGATCAGCAAACCTTCCTGCCCCCAATCCCATATGCACCACAGGCCACGTTAGGCTTTCAGCCCCAGGAAGCGGGCCGTGTTCAGGACGTCATCTCTCGTCAGGTAGCAGCCGCAAAGCTGGCGGTAGCCCGTGAAGGACTCCCGGCCGTGCAGCACGCGCCAGTTGTCCACAAACAGGGCCTGCGGGCAGAAGGAGAGAAATGATACTGGGATTCGTATCGAATCCTGGTTATGCTAACAATCCCGAATTGGGCACCCATTATGGGAAGCACAGAAGATTTACACAGTATCGCCGATCCTCCGTGTTTCCCAGTAACAAGAGATAAAGATTTACTTAACAAAAATAGAAGCACGTCTTACACGACATACTCATGTAGGTGCATTTAGCTTATTATGAACAGATTAACTTCAAAAAAAGGTTAACTTGCGACAACTGCAAGCCCAGGTGAGAGAGAGAAGCGGCTCAACATCTGACCGATGGACTGCCCAGTGTACCCGAGTGAAAGAATTCTCTTAACCCTTTCCCTCCCTGATTCTCTCACATGCAGAGTTACAATAGCCAACACTGGGGACCACAGATGTGATTCCCGGTTTGCTTGTTTAATTCTCAAATCCTAAGAATCCTGAATGGAACATTAAAAACACAAACAAACAGGGGGGCCTTGGATCACTCCCTGCCCAGCCGACTGACTTGTAAAGCACTGCATCACAACTGTGCACCCTTGGTTTGGCCACAGATACAGACTGTCTTACGCCTCTCAGTCTGGTGACCTTTCCTTGTGGCTGCACAGTGAGAAACACCTTCCTCTTTCTTTGGCAGCCAAACCCCAAAGCAAAGAGCCAACCTAGCCACTTACAGTAGCTCTTTTGTGACACCTGCCCTCCAACACTCATGATTCCTTTTTAAAATTCCAAAAGTGCCGACGGACTCAACACGGGTTGGGGACCTTGGCAAACCGGGAAGCATTCAGCTGAACAGGCTGCGCACGGTGGGGTGGGTGGGTTAGGAAGTGTGTGAGCACAACATGCTAAGCTTGTGTTCGCCCTGGACAAAGACAGGTTTGTCTTGATGTCTCAGTGCAGCCCTGTCTCCTCTCTGCGTTTGGTTGTTCCTCTCTGCTTTTGTCCGACTGCTAGTGGTGCTTCCCTGATCCTGACCTTGCCTGGATCAGCTGGTTCTTTGGGGCTGACCCTTAAGATTGAACACCGACACCGCAGACAGCTGGCATGTAAGATTCAAACTGCCGTTGTACACTCTCAGTCTGAAACAGCCTGTCTCTTGATTTGTTCAGTTAAACAAGTATAAAGCCAACAGTTGTGATAGTCTAACCCACAATCAGTCATAAGACTTATAAAGAATGCTGTTTATGTATTGCAATCTAAAGCACTATAACATGATACACAACGTCGTCTCCGGATTGCATGACAACGTTTCAAAAAATGAATCTTTTTCAGGAGATATTATAGTGGTGCCAAAGTGCTCAGTTTCATAAGTGTTAGACAACAAGTCTTAAGAATATTAAATTCAGATAGGACGCTGATCTCAAAATATGCTGCTATGTTTCTACTGGATCCCGGGCGCCTGGGATCCAGTAGAAACATAGCATCATATTTTGAGCCTGAATGTTAATTGAGATCAGCGTCCTATCTGAATTTAATATTCTTAAGACTTGTTGTCTAACACTTATGAAACTGAGAGCTTTGGCACCACTATAATATCTCCTGAAGAAGATTCATTTTTTGAAACGTTGTCATGCAATCCGGAGACGACGTTGTGTATCATGTTATAGTGCTTTAGATGGCAATACATAAACAGCATTCTTTATAAGTCTTATGACTGTTTGATTGTGGGTCAGACTATCACGACTGTTGGCTTTATACTTGTTTAACTGATTGGGTCGTGTGTGTCTTGGTTTGTTCAAACACCTAACCATCCCATGTTTTAACCTTCTGCAGTTACTGATTTCAAACGGCCGTTTGCTGAAAAACGGGGTAAGAACGATTGAACCTCCTCCCCGATGCCACGGCACGCACCAATAGCACATGTGGACCCATGGACTGGGACTCTACCTTGCCAGGTTTCAACTTGACCCAAAGCTCGTTCTCCGCCCTCCTCAGTTCGGTGGTGAGAGCACGGTGTGCGGCGTACCAGCGATGCACGATGTCGTAAGGCACAGTGTTGATCACAGCTCGGTCGTAGTTGTTGTACCTGCCATCAGGTCAGAGAAGAGAGAAAAGCACAGCTGCTGGTATGAAAGGTCACCCCGGGAACCGAGGGTGCCCTCCGAGGACACTGATGGGGGGGGAAGAGTCACCCCACAGGAGAGCGGCAGCGTTGCAAACGCAGGAGCCTGGACTGCAGAAGGGGTCAGCGTACAGATTGCGGAAGGGGTCAGTGTGCAGAGTGGTCCTCGGCCCTAAAGCTAGCCAGCTGTCCTCAAGCAGGGCCGGGCCTTTTTGGTCCTGGTCCCAACCTGGTGGAACTCTCTGCCAAATACCATCAGGGCCCTGCGGGACCTTATGCAATCCCACAGGGCCTGTAAGGCAGAGGTGTTCCGCCAGGCGTTTGGTTGAGGGCAGCGACGGCGTCCATCCTAGCCGGCACTCTTTTCCGCTCCTGCTGCTGCAGCATACCGAATCCGCTTCAAGGTGCTGGTTCTTACCTTTAAAGCCCTATATGGCCGGGGCCCGACATACCTACGGGACCGCCTTTCCCTGTACATACCCCAGAGAGCACTACGGTCTGGGTCTCAAAATCAGTTGACCCTCCCTGGCCTGAGGGAGGCCAGGCTAGCTACTACCAGGGCCGGGGCCTTTTCAGTGGCGGCCCCGACCTGGTGGAACGCGCTCCCGGAGGAGATCGGGGCCCTGCGGGACCTTTCACAGTTCCGCAGGGCCTGCAAGATGGAGCTCTTCCGCCAGGCATTTAATTAGGGGCCGCCGCTGTCATAGAGCCCTGGCTCGTGGGTTTAACATTGAGCTGATGCCATAAGAAATTCTGAGCAGAAGAATATCCGGGAAGTGGTAATTCATCTTGAAAATGAGCCATCTAAGTTAAGTTTTAACTGTTGCCAGCACCTTGTGTTTGTATTTTATCTGTTGTGTTTTAAATGACTGTATGATTTTAACTGTATTTATGTTTGTATGGAAGCCGCCCTGAGCCTGCGTTGTGGGGAGGGCGGGGTATAAGTCAGATAAATAAATAAATAAATAAAATCCTATCTGCCTTGCCCTCCTCTCCCCTGCCCGCAAAGTGGCCAGCTGTCTGAAATTGGATCAATTAGTACATGCCATCTGATTTTTTTAAAAAAATGCGTTATCAATGTTTGAACTGTTTTATCTTGCTATGTTTATATAAACGCTGTACATCGCCCAGAGCCCTGCATTAGCAGGGATTGGGCAATTAACAAATTTAATACAGAAATAAATAAATATATAAGACTCCATTTTGGTCTCAGGGTTTCTCGGAGGAGGAACTTGCTAACAGATCGACATTCGAGTCCAGTAGCCCCCTAAAGTAAAGGTAAAGGTTCCCTTGCTCGAAAGCCAGTCGAATCCGACTCTAGGGTTGCGGTGCTCATCTCCGTTTCAAAGCCGAAGAGCCAGCGCTGTCCGAAGACGTTTCCGTGGTCATGTGGCCGGCATGACTAAACACCAAGGAGCACGGAACGCTGTTACCTTCCCACCGAAGTGGTACCTATTTATCTACTTGCAATTTCTTGCTTTCGAACTGCTAGGCTGGCAGGAGCTGGAACTAGAGACGGGAGCTCACTCCGTCTTGAGGCACACTCGGGTCTCGAACTGCTGAACTACCGACCCTCCACAGCCTGCAGTTCAGCGTCTTAACGACTTGAGCCACCAACAACATCTGGGGTGCAGATGCTTTTGAGGATCCCAAGCGCCTTTCGTCAGCGCTTTGCCTCGCGAGAGCTGGTGCCCTGGAAATCTTGTTGCTCTACAAGGGGCTCCTGGACTTGAATCGAGCTCTTCGGCTGCAGACCCAGATAGCTGCCCTCCCGAAACTATCTTCACGGAAGGCGTGAACTGATACTCTTATGAGCCACTCTGTACTCCAGACTGGAGCCTCAAAGCACATTCTACTTCAAAAACGGACCCTTTCGTAAGCGCTCAGTCTCCATAATAAAGCTGCGTATCAACAGTCTGCCTATGCCCACTTTGCTCGGCTAAGTATGGGGGCTTCCCTCCAGCACAGGGAGCTTTCTGCCGGAGGAAGAGCCCCTCCAGCGGGAGGAAAACCCTGCATTTGGCTGACTGAAGGGTTAGGATCCAAGCTGGTAAAGGAGCCACAGTTCCGCATGCCCTGTGCTCAGGCACAGCACTGAACACAAAAGACGTCATAGGGGGACTATCACATTACATACAAAAACCAAGAGAGGGAGGGGGGTGTTTGTAAGCCGCTCTGAGACTCCAAGTGAAGGGCGGGGTATAAATCCAATCTCTTCTTATTATTATTCCACGCAGGTCCCACAATCATAGAGTTGGAAGGGACCTACAGGGTCATCTAGTCCAACCCCCTGCACAATGCAGGAAATTCACAAATACCTCTCCACCCACACCTCCAGTGACCAGTGTTCCCTCTAAGCTGAGTTAGTGTGAGCCAGCTCACAGTTTTTTAGCCTCCGGCTCACACATTTTTGTCTTAGCTCAGGAAGGATGGCTCCAGAGCAGACTAATTTATACAGTAGCCAAATCACTTGCTCCCAACTTTAATGCCAGTAGCTGAGAAAGTAGAATTTTTGCTCACAAGACTCCACAGCTTAGAGGGAACATTGCCAGTGACCCCTGTTCCATGCCCAGAAGATGGCAAAAAACCTCCAGGATCCCTGGCCAAAGTGCCCTGGAGAACAATTGCTTCCTGACCAAAGTTCTCTCTGAGCTGAGTGAGTGTGAGCTAGCTCACAGTTTTTTAGCCTCCGGCTCACAGATTTTTGTCTTAGCTCAGGAAGGATAGCTCCAGAGCAAACTGATTGATGCAGTAGCCAAATAGCTTGCTCAGCAGCTTACAAAGTAGAATGTTTGCTCACAAGACTCCACAGCTTAGAGGGAGCATTGCTCCTGACCCCAAAGTGGCGATCCGCATTTCCCTGGGTATGTAAGAAAGGGACACAAGAACGAAGCACCGAGGCAACCCTTCCTGCCCTCCCTCTCGTGATCTGCCCAAGTTCCCAGAATCCGCATGGCTGTCAGATGGCCATCTAGCCTCTGTTTGGAAACCTCCAAAGAAGGAGAAGCCCACCACCTCCCGAGGAAGCCTGTTCCACCGAGGAACCGCCCTAACCATCAGAGTTCTACCTAATGTTTAGCCGAAAACACTTCTGATTTATTTTCAACCCGTTGGTTCTGGTCCAGCCTTCTGCGGCAACAGAAAACAACACCGCACCATCCTCTATATGACGCCCCCTCAGGTACTTGAAGATGGTTGTCATATCACCTCTCAGCAATGCTCCCTCTAAGCTGTGGAGTCCTGTGAGCAAAAATTCTACTTCGTGAGCTACTGGCATTAAAGTTGTGAGCGAGGGATTTGGCTGCTGCACAGATTAGTCTGCTCCGGAGGCATCCTTCCTGAGCTAAGACAAGAATGTGTGAGCCGGAGGCTAAAAAACTGTGAGCTAGCTCACACTAACTCAGCTTAGAGGGAACACTGCCTCTCAGTCATCTCCTCTCCAGGCTAAACATCCTGAAAACAAATCTTCCCAGGGTTATAAGAACATAAGAGACGCCAATGTTGGATCAGGCCAAAGCCCCATCCAGTCCAACACTCTGTGTCACACAGTGGCCAGAAATACCAGGTGCCATCAGGAGGTCCACCAGTGGGGCCAGGACATTAGAAGCCCTCCCACTGTTGCCCCCCCCCCAAAGCACCAAGAAGACAGAGCATCACTTGCCCCAGAGCCCCTGTCTATACCTTGTGGCTAATAGCCACTGATGGATCTCTGCTCCATATGCTTATCTAATTCCCTTTTGAAGCCGTCCATGCTTGTAGCCGGGTTTGAAATGGTTGCTTGGGAACCAAGGGACAGGAAAGCTGGGAAACCCTGCAGCCAACAGTGATCAACGGCGGGGATCAAATGTGATAGAACCGCCACGGAAACGTGACAGAACTGCCAGGGAAAACTGGACAGCCAGTTGGCCATCCCTGTTTCAGTGCAAGCACAGCATCTTCGGAACAATGGTAGTCGCCTCACCTGATCAGGTAGAGCTCGTTGTTCCAAGGGTAAACATTCAAGACAGGCCCCACCCCGATCATGTGGTTGTGGCAACTCCCGACGTTCTCAATGTACTCGTGTTTCAGCGGCACCCTGCTCAGGAGCTTGAAGTCGTCAGGTGATCGCTGCAGCACTTGCTCTGCCGCGTAGAAGCCATCCACCAGCAACGTCCGACCACCCGTCCCTTCGTGCCGGAGACAGTGGAACACCTGGATGCTGTGGAGGGGCGAGGAGAAGACTGGTCAGTTAACTGTAAGGAATGCTGAGAAGACTGAAACTGGAAGCACAGAGAAGTGGAAGGAAGAGAAAGATGAGAAAACGATGCGATAATTCTGTGCTGGCTGTTAACAGCGATCCTGATTAGTTAGACAGGCGGACTATCAGGGATCAGTTGTTAATGTTAACAAAAGTGGGAATAACAGCATGAAGACACTAAGGACATTCCATTCCATGAAGATCCCTCCCAGCTTCTAATTCTGCCTTTCAGAACAACATCCGGAAGAACTCTGCCCTGCCCTGGTTATCAGTGACAGAGGCTTAATGTTTTCCTTACCATATTATATAAGGTCAAAAACTTGGCATTAGCTACATTACAGAGGTCTCCGGTACAGAAGAACCTGCAGTTCAGTAACCTGTGCTAATTTCAAGCTGTTGAAGCCTGACTGAATATCACTACAAAACTATTTCCAGATCTTAAAAACATTGATTTTGGAGGAGACAATGGAAGAATGCTCATGATGCAGAGAATCCAAAGTTACAAGTCTCCCTAGGGGGGCCAAAAAAATCCAAGCTGGAAGGCCAAGAATTGCTACATCGTGTTCAAGGACCATGCGTATTGTGCTATATTGAAAATTTAGGAAAAAACTGTCCCCCAATAAGACCCTACAAATAATAAAAAATTTCCGCCCTCTCTATGCAATACTAATATTATTCGTTCCGTTGTCACTTGCACTTTATGATAATTCAGACTCTAATCTGTGCAGACTCTGATCTGGGAACCAAGTTTGATTCCCCACTCCTCCACTTGCAGCTGCTGGATGACCTTGGGCAAGCCATAGTTCTGACAAGAGCTGTCCTTGAAAGGGCAGTCCTCGAAAGACCTCTCTCAGCCCCACCTACCTCACAGGGTGTCTGTTGTGGGGAGGGGGAGGGAAAGGAGTTTGTAAGCCACTCTGAGACTCCGAGTGAAGGGCATGGTATAAATCTAACCTCCTCCTCCAGAATGTTTATGACCATTTTAGAATTGTTATTTTATGTGTTTTAACTTTTTAGGTAAGCCGCCTGAGCCTGCTTCGGCGGGGAGGGGAGAGTATAAACTGAATAAATAAATAAATAAATATATAAATTCATTAATTAATTAATAAACATACTCGTCTTTGGGAGGCTTTAGCAGCTTATCTTTGCTATCGTGTTTCTGTATAGTTTGTTTTCAACTGTATGTTAGTTGTCCTGTGAATTTGTTTGTTTTAACCAAGTATAAGCCCAGGGGCAGGATATAAATAATTGTAATACATAAAATAAAGGTCAATTTGACAGTCATGCTTGATTGAAATCTCAGGAACCAATGGAGCATCAATGCCCTATACGGGGTGTTTTCCCCTTCAGCCTCAGGAGAATGCTCCGTGTCTAAGAAGAGGCCTGCTGAAAATGAGAGGCAGCTGGCAATTTTTTTTTTTTTTTGCTTCTAGGCTTCCTCATATGCAAATATGTGGAGGTATATTAGATCCACTGGCTGACAGAAACGTACGCGGTTAACTGTCTGTCTCTTATCAAGCACAGCGATAGCAACGATATAGTACTTCGTTTTTACTTTGCTTTTACTGACTTGTTGAAAAAAATGTAATCAATTTTAAATCTTTGTGTGTTTTTATAAAGAAGAAGGGGACGGCAAAGGATGAGATGTTTAGACAGTGTTATCGAGGCAATGAACATGAAATTAAGCAAACTCTGGAGCATAACGGAAGACAGGAGGGCCTGGCGTGATGTGGTCCGTGCGGTCGTGAAGTGTCGGACTCGACTGTGCAACTGAACAACAACAACATTGTGCATTGCTGTGATGTCATCTGTACGCTGCCTCAAACATTCTTTTTTTCTCTTTGAAAACACGACAAACTTGTAACCTAAACAAATAAGGGACCACATCCACCATTCACTGTTAACCTTTCGCCCATCTTTCCTTCTGCTGCCTCATATGAAACTGGCACGTACCCGCAGGGCTCCTGGAAGTAGGTGGTGTCCGTGTGGCGGTCCAAAGCCAGCTTGGTGTAGGCTGTGTCTCCACGGGAGAAGTCAGAGGTGAAGTGCCACATCCTGCCGTAGATTGTCTCCCTAGAAAAGCAGAGAGATCGCAACAGCTGAATAGCTGGATTCGAATCCAGCAGCACCTTAGAGACCAAAAAAACTCGGGAGGGTATTCGCTTTCAAGAGTCACAGCTCCCTTTGCCAGCAGCAGCTGCGGCACCCAGCCCCATCCCACCTTTTATCTGGTCAACAAAGGGCTCTCTGGAAGAGTCAGAGCAACACCTGAAGTGGGAGGCTGCTAACTATGGCTGTGAAGACCATCCGTGCGAATGCCCAAAGGGCAAGTGCCTTGGAACTACCTGTGCAGTCTAGTCTCGTGTGTGTTTCCTCAGCTGGGATGCAAAATATACAGTGCGGTTCTATGCAGCATCACTCCAGGCTAGATCCTGGAGAAACCCAGAGCTCGGAGGCACCTGGGCTTCGTTGGCTTCCCTCCCCACAAGGCAACTGGTTGGCCACTGCGTGAAACAAGATGCTGGACTAGATGGACCACTGGTCTGATTTTTTTTAAAATTTGTATTTTATTAAATTTTCAACATCGTTTGACAATTTTAAAAAATACAAAAACAAGGGATCAAAGTCCTGCATGAGCTGGGTCAACGATTATCTTCAATAGTTTTGTCAGCACTGTTTCAACACTAGATAACGCTCAATGAGGATGCAGAAGAGAAGATCGAAGCTTTGCATTAGCAAGGTCATCAGATAACTACAAGTAAAAAAATTTCTATTAGTCAACAAACAGGAAATTATGCTAATAATAAGGCTATTTTGGATTATAGTATAATCAAATACAATAAAATGCAATCAAAAGTACAGTAAAATTCTATAGACCGGGTTGTTTGGAATTGTTTCACTGTTTCCTAAATAATTGATCATAGGAAACCAAACTGCCTGGAACCTCTTTTGATATTTTTCTGACAGCAAAGCTGAAGAGTTATAGGAGGTGCATACATGAAGCAATCCCAGATCCCCCCCCCCATTCTGTTAGTGTAGGGGCATTTTTTTTTTGCTTCCATTTTTGTGCAATCGTTATTTTTTGTCTGATTCAGAGGGGCTCTTCTTATGTTCCCTGTGAGCTGATTAGCTGGCTAGACTAATTGATCGGGTGGGGGGGGGGGAATCTGCTACTTGATTACTCAGGGATGTCGTTTTAAGTCAATCCAAAGCCGCTAATTATTCAAGGAACTTGTAGAATCTAGAAAGGGTGTCTGTGCGCGTCGTGTTCTTCTGGGGCGGTCCTGTTTTTCCTCTTACGCAAAAGGGGAATGCCTCTTCTACAACAGGGGCTGTTCAGACATGAGTGTGACCTGGCTGAAGCCAAGCAAAGTATGTTCCCGCCCCCCCACACTATCATTTTATTCATATGTAGATTTCATTAACTAAATTTAATTCATGATGACTGTTTTTAATTGGGTGACAGTCCCACTGAGGTTGGCAACTCCATTGTGGGAATTCCTGGAGATGTAGGCACAGGACTTCTCTTTCTCCTGGACTCGATGGTCTGCCACAGCTTCAAAGGACAGACTCTATGGTCTACACTGAAGACCGCCTTCCAAACCTGCCGCTTCCCCCAGGGCGGCTGATCTCTGTAGTCTGGAGAGCAGCTGTAATCCCAGGAGGACTCCAGGCCCTACCCTGAAGTTGGCAACTGCATCCCACTCCAATGAAACCCCCACAGAGCTCAGCAGGCCTTCCTCCAAAGAAAGAATCGTGGTCTTGGAAGCAGTGTTCCCTCTAAGCTGAGTTAGTGTGAGCTAGCTCACAGTTTTTTAGCCTCTGGCTCACACATTTTTGTCTCAGCTCAGGAAGGATGGGGCTCCAGAGCAAATTAATTTATGCAGCAGCCAAATCTCCTGCTCACAACTTTAAGGCCAATAGCTCGCAAAGTAGAATTTTTGCTCACAGGGCTCCATAGCTTAGAGGGAACATTGCTTGGAAGCGCGAGTCACTGAGGGCAAGCGGCAGGTTATGCCGATGGATGGAGCTCGATTCTTCCAGTTTAGGTTTTTAAATTTAAAAGAAAGCTGCAGGGAGGTCCAATACGAATGAGTGCCGCACAGGTAATGGAACGGGTTTTAAAAAATCCATCCCTGTGTTGCCCCCACCGGCAGCAATCACACCCCTCACTTTGAACCGCTATTAACCACTGCAGGTTAAAAAATGAGTACAACACGGATAGCAGATTGATGATTGATTTCCATTGGAGAAATGGAGTGTGTGGGTGTGTCAGGGGCAAGTGTTAAGCCCCCCCCATTGCCTCTGCATGGTGGCCCTGATCCAAAGCTACGTTTGCCCTTGAGGCTGCTTTTTAACACTAACCTCAAGCGTCCCGATCACAGCTTGGCAGAAAGAGGCCCAAGTTTGACCCTGCCCTTCTGGGGTGAAAAACACCAAGTCCCATCCTGTACGTCAGTGGCAGTCTTGCAAGAGTCAAATGTTTTATTTTAAAAATGGGATGGGCTGGACAGAAACTAAGGAGGAACACAGATCGGGAGGAAAAAAATAATAAGCCAGGCCTTAGCAAACCAAGGGTGGGAAGGGGAGAAAGGAAAGATCATCCGGCATAGCCAGGGCTGAAGTTTGGGAGTTCCCAGGCCAGAGAGGCTGCCTGGAGCCCTACACGTGCCCTTCTGCCTCTGGGCTGGGGAGGGAGAGGGCAGGAAGCTGGTGCCAATCCCTTTCTTCCTCACCCTCCAGGGGAAGCCAAGGTCAGCCCGGCAATTTCGTTTTAATTGGAAGGAAACTCTTGCTTTCCCGCCATCCCTCCGGAGCCCAGCGCCTTGTTTTGAACTTCTGGTCTCCCAGGACCAAGGCTGCCCTCCTAACCTTCCAGTCAAAACAGGAAATCTTGGGCTAGTTGAGAACTAAAACATTCCCAGCCTGGCTCAAAGAACTCATCTCCTGGCTGTTCTGACTGCTCTGGAGGAAAGACCCTTACGATGTTAACATTTTTTAAAAAACAATTTTCCCCAAGTCCGTGCAATGTCAACAAACACCTCCATTGTTGCCTAATGGTTTGAAATGTTGTCTTTTCCCAGTGCAAGGGAGGAGATACTAACTTAGAAGGAGCACGTGAAACTGCCTTAAGCCGCCTTAAACCATATTGCTACTACTCATCTTCTCTAGATTCTGTAAAAGGCGGTGGCCCCGGTCAGCCTTTGAAGGTCCCCAGGGTACGGAAAGGCACGGAGAAGGGGGAGCATATCACAGGGGCTATTTTTGGGCAGGGCTATTTTTGGGCAGGAACGCACAGGAACGGAGTTCCGGCTGGCTCCCAAGTTGGCCACGCCCAGCAGGAACTCATCAGCATAATAGGCCACACCCAACAGCAGGAACTCATTAGGATTGGCTACATTAGGGGTGTGTGGCCTAACATGCAAAGGAATTCCTGCTACAAAAAATGGCCCTTGGTTTTGACAACAAACAAGGTAAACAGAATAAGAAGCAAAAGGTGGGTGTGGCTGGATAACCACACTTCTGGTAACACGGGGGTGTGGCCTAATATGCTAATGAGCCGTGCTGTCAGGGGTGTGGCCTAATATGCTAATGAGTTCCTGCTTGGCTTTTTCTACAAAAAAGGCCCTGGTTATGGGGCTATCACCCAAGCGTTACTGAGAGAAGGGCAAAGGTGGCAACGGCAGAGACTGCAGGCTCCTGGACACCACACTCCTGTTGGAACTCAAACATTTATAGCGATGCTTTGGCCCCAGTTTCGAATCCCAATCTGAAGCTCACTGGAGGACCCAGGTCCCATCTGTCTCTCTCTTAGCCTAATCGACTTCAGGGAAAGGGTCCGTGACTCAGTGGTGGAGCATCTGCTTGGCATGCAGAAGGTCCCAGGTTCAATCCCTGGCCTCTCCAGTTGAAAAGACCAGGCTGTGAAAGACCTCCACCTGAGACCCTGGAGAGCCACTGAGTAGAGAATACTGCGGGTCTGAGTCAGTATAAGGCAGCTTCATGTGTGTGCGTTCATGTTTGGGTTGATGCTGAGAGGATAAAACGTAGAAGGGGAGAACAATGGAGTAAGCTGCTTCCAGTCCCCACTGGAGAGGTAAATGGAGTACAAATGTTTTAACAGAATAACTACTTCTGCACAGTCTTTCGCCTTCTTCGAATCAAGCTAAGGTGTCCCAAGATGCCAGAAGGTTTACCTGATCAAGCTGACCCTCTCCGCTAAGATCTCCGTGTCTTCTTTGGTCGGGGGCACGTTTTCCACAAAGGCAATCCCGTAAAGGAGGAAGTTCTGCAGGAACGCCTTCAGGCCCTCGTTGGTTTCCAGGAAGCTCTGGCAGTCCACGGAGGGCACCTGGGCGTCCTGGTAGATCTGTGCGTTCCAGAGGATGCGGGGGTGCATGACCTGCTGCTTCTGCCCTTCGTAGCTGTTCCCCAGGAGCCATTCCAGCCCATACCTGGTCACGTGGCCGTCTGGCCCTGCGGCAAAACAAAGACATGTGGGGAAAGGGTGAGTGGTGATGCTCACGGATGTTACCCGTCAACCTAAAGACAAGGCTCAGACTGCTGCTATTCAGGTAAGGGATGGCAACAATTGCAGGTACGGATTCTGGGTGTACTGCAAGGATGTTTGGAAACCACTTTGCTCAGGGCTGGGGTTCACAGGAAGAGTAGATCTAGAAGAACTGCTCTTTCCCCTTCACTTCCAAAGGCTGGAGCTTGGTCACTAGCAGAGCCTAAAAGATTTGGTGGCATTATGACTGGAAATTTTTTTTTAAAAAACCCAAACACAGCTGGGGAAGGTATCAAGACTGGCCTTGTCTTTTGTTTCGCTAGAAGTGCAAAAAAACAAACAAACAAACCCCCAAGTAGAAAAAGAAATTATTGACCAATTGGCAAGCTTATTCTCAGACCAGAGGCTGTGAAGGGGCATGATTTGTCTCTCTCCCCAGATCCACAATGCTTCAGTATCTGAATCTTTAGTAGGACCAGCCGACATATTTCCACTACGAGGACAAAGGCACGAAACTGCCCCCTCCCCCAAATGGTCTGATTCAAAGATCACAGATTTCAAAAAACAGATGCCCATTTCTTGCAAGGATATATCCCTCCACCACAACACCCCCCACCTCTAGGAGAAAGGGATGCGCTGTCAGACTCACAGGTGAGTAAGAGCGTGGTGTCATCCACCCGGACGGTCTTGGGCCTGATGCACAAATCCACACTCACACTGGCCGTGTCCAGGCTGCGCTGGTTGGTCTTGGTGTTGTAGCAGGAGGCGGAGCGGCAGTGGTCGCGCAGCCAGACATAGTCGAAGCGCATGAGGGTGTCCCCAAACTTCAGCTCTAGGGAGGCAACACAGCAGGCGATCAAACATCAAGCAAGAAGGTGGTTGCAAGCTGGAAGGCCTGGGCGCACCATTGTGGGTGCTCCTCGGGCAACTAAGCAGAGGTGGAAAGCAGTGTTCCCTCTAAGCTGAATTAGTGTGAGCTAGGTCACAGTTTTTTAGCCTCCAGTGCACATATTTTTGTTCTCGCTCAGGAAGGAGGGCTCCACAGTAAACTAATATATGCAGTAGCCAAATCGCTTGCTCACAACTTTAATGCCAGTAGCACACAAAGAGGGAAAGATTGAAGGTCAAAGAAGACGGGGACGGCAAAGGATGAGATGGTTAGTCAGTGTCATAGATGCAACGAACATGAAATTGAGCCAACTTCAGAGGACAGCAGAAGACAGGAGGGCCTGGTGTGACCTGGTCCATGGGGTCGCGAAGAGTCGGACTCGACTGTGCGACTGAACAACAACAACAAGCACACAAAGAAGAATTTTTGCTCACAAGACTCCACAGGTTAGAGGGAACATTGGAAAGTACCATCAAGCTGCAACCAACTTTAGGCAGCCCTGTATGATTTTCAAGGCAAGAGATGTTTCTTTTCTTTTCTTAAAACAATTTTCTATTTCATGTCAAACGCACAAAAACAAAGAAACAAAAGCAAACAGATACGCGTTACAAACATTCAATGGGAGAATCTATCCATCTCTTTGAATCATCTGCTAAGTTACCCATACAACTCTAAGTAAAAAAGTATATTTCTACACCTTATATTGTTAAGTAAAGCTTTTGCACATTTTATTATAAATGTTCTTGTTGTCCTCTATTTCGGTTGTGTAGTGTACAGGGGTCATTTAATGTGTTCTTCAATCCATCTGTAAAAACTGGACCACATATTTTCAACGTTTTCCTCTTTTTGTCCTTTCGGAATTAAAGTTAGTTTATCCATTTCAGCAGTTTCGAGCAGTTTGGTTATCGCTTCTTCTTTCGAAGGTGTCTCCTTTCTTCTCCACCATTTAGCATACAATATAGGGCAAGAGATTATTCGAGGGGGTCTGCCACTGCCTGCTTCTGCACAGCGTCCCTGGACTTCCTTGCTGGTCTCCCACCCAAGCCTAACCAGGGACAACCCTATTCAGCTTCTGAGATCTGACGAGATCGGGCTAGCCCGGGCCATCCAGGGCAGGGACCCTCCTGATAAGTCTGTTATTTATCTTTTTCAGCTGGGAAGAGCCGAACTCTACTCCTTTCTCAGTCTGTGCAACAACCAATAACGTTAACTCCTCCACAGAAGCGCCACTCACCGCCGTTCTTAGACTCGTGGTGACATCAACAGGGGTCATTTCGTAGAAAAAGAGGTGCAGGAGCTCATTAGCATAACTCATCAGCACAACTTATTTGCATATGCCACACCCCCTGACATCACCGGACGTGTGTCAGAAGGCAACACCCACCGCTCAGGCTCCACTGGACTGTTTTGGATGGCTAGCTATGGGGTGTGTGTGGCATATCCAGCTTAGGCTGGAATTAAAAAAACGTGTTAGTCTTTGCAGACTCACAAGACTGTCAGAGGCACAAGGCTGCAGTTTGCTTTGGCTGCAACAGACAAACACGGCTACCTTTTGGAATTGCATACACAGGAGGGGGGACGGACTTGCGAGGACTTGTGGAGAGGGGAAATCCCAACTCCTGCCCCCATCGTTGTTGCCATCGATGGCCTCCCCATTTTCAGGTCTGCCTCTCCCCCAGCACCTTGCTGTTCCATCTATCCCCCCCACCAAACTTCAAGTGCCTGGAACTCTACGTGGCAGAAGCAGCAGAAGGAATGCCCAGTGCCATCTGCTACAGTAAGCATTCAGAGACAGGTTTTTAAGAAGGACCAGTCAGGACCTATGAGACCCTGGATCTCAGCTGCTGGACAGGCCTAGCAGGGGGAGGCCGATACTGCTTTCATGCGCTCCGTCTGGGCTTCCCAGATAGGGTTGTCAACCCCAGTTTGGGAAATCCCTGGAGATTTGGGGGTTGGCGCCCGGGGAGGGTGGGTTTGAGGAGAGGCATGAGGCCGCACAGTCCACCCTCCAAAGCAGCCATTTTCTTCAGGGGAACAGACCTCTGTCGACTGGACATCAACGGTAACTCTGGGAGATCTCCAGGCCCCACCTAGAGGCGTCTGTTCACAATACAAGAACTCGTGGGCACTCCATGAAACTGCAGAGCGGTCGGGTTAGAACGGATAAAAGGAAGTACTTCTTCACCCAAAGAGTGATTAACACATGGAATTCACTGCCACAGGAAGTGGTGGGTGCTACAAGCATGGACGGCTTCAAAAGGGAATTAGATAAGCATATGGAGCAGAGGTCCATCAGTGGCTATTAGCCACAAGGTATAGCTAGGGGCTCTGGGGCAAGTGATGCTCTGTCTTCTTGGTGCTGGGGGGGGGGTCAACAGTGGGAGGGCTTCTAATGTCCTGGCCCCACTGCTGGACCTCCTGATGGCACTGGTATTTCTGGCCACTGTGTGACACAGAGTGTTGGACTGGATGGGCCTTTGGCCTGATCCAACATTGGCGTCTCTTATGTTCTTATGTTCTTATGTCTGGTGGGCCATTGTGGGAGGCAGGATGCTGGACTAGATGGATCCTTGGCCTGATCCAGAACAGTGAATCTGATCTTCCCCTGGCCCCCACTCTTTTCTGATTATTTATTTTAAACATTTATATTGTGCTTTTCCACAATATACAAAACAGAAACACACGCAGTTAAAACACCGAAATTAGTGCAAAATCAAGTTAAAACTGCAGCTCCTGCAACACATACCTCCACCAGCTGCCAGACAGACACATTCATTATTTACTTCCACCAAAGTTGCGTTGAAATAGTTCCACTTTGCACCTTTTATGGTAGAGAGAGAGTATGGGAGCTTTCCCGTACCATTTCTGTTTGGTGTCGTGGTTAAGTGCGCGGACTCTAATCTGGGAGAACCGGGTTTGATTCCTCACACCTCCACTTGCAGCTGCTAGATGACCCTGGGCAAGCCACAGTTCTGTCAGAGCTGTTCTCTCACGAGCCGTTCTCTCAGAGCTCTCTCAGCCCCACCTACCTCACAGGGTGTCTGTTGTGGGGAGGGGAAGGGAAAGGAGTTTGTAAGCCGCTCTGAGACTCCGAGTGAAGGGCGGGGTATAAATCCAATCTCTTCTTCTTCTTCTCTTCTTCTGGAAGGCTGTTCGAAAGGCCACTGAAAACAAGTGTGCGTGGGTTGGCAACGAACAAACTACCTGAATAGAGGGAACTGTCAAACACCAGGCGAATGTATTGGGTGCATGGGATCGTATGGGGGAAGTCAGCGGATTAGATATGTGGGTCCCAGGCTCTGAAAGGCATTCAATGGAACAACTAGCATCTGGAACTGTGCCTGGAAGCAAGCAGGTGGCTGTTGAGGCCCTGGTGCCTTACAAACATACTGGCGCAAACTGGTCAATGATCTACTGGCAGCATTTTGCACCAGCTGAAGTTTTTGAACGGTTCCCTTTCCCACGCTACTTACCTAGATGATCGCTGTGCAGCTGCCAGGCACAACTTAGCGGTGCAGGGGTGGTGTGGTGCCGACGGGGGGAACCCAGGAAAATCCGCTTGGAGCTAAGCTGCCACGAAGGTCGGTGCTCGGAAAGGTTCTTTGGCAGGCAGCGGGCCCCGGTGCACAGACGCAGCAGCTGGCGGCCCCACATCCTGGGAAAGGGAGGCAGACGTCACTGGCGGATATGACTACCCCAGCAGCCACAACGCGTGCTAAAACCCTGACGCCACCCCAATCGCTAGGAGCTGTGCATAACAGCAGCAGGAGGCCCCCGGCTAAGACACGCAGCCCGCCATCCCCTATTGGCTAGCCCTGGCCTGGATAGCCCAGCCTAGCCCAATCGCATCAGATCTCGGAAGCTAAGCAGGGTCGGTCCTGGTCAGTATTTGGATGGGGGACAATTAGGGAAGCTCCCTACAGAGGGGCAGGTGATGGCAACCCAACTGAACATCTCTTGCCTTGACAACCCCATGGGGCTGCCATAAGTCAGCTGTTACCTGGTGGCGAAAACCCCCAAAATCTCCTATGGTAGCCATTCTGAACAAGAGACGCGTAAGAAGGACCGATGTGGTAACTGGGGTTGTCCAGGCCCTGAGAGTCTAGGAGAATGCCAGCGCCAAGATCAACCCCCGCACAATGTCACACAGGTAAATGGTGTGTTATGAGCAGTGTTCCCTCTAAGCTGAGTTAGTGTGAGCCAGCTCACAGTTTTTTAGCCCCTGGCTCACACATTTTTGTCTTGGCTCAGATGGGGCTCCAGAGCACACTAATTGATGCAGTATCCAAATCGCTGGCTCACGACTTTAATGCCAGTAGCTCACAAAGTAGAATTTTTGCTCACAAGACTCGACAGCTTAGAGGGGACATTGGTTATGAGGTCCCCGTTAGAGAATCCCATCACAGACCAGTTCATGGCTGCCTGCTGACCAGCAGCACCCACCCTGCAGGAATCCGGTGCCACGGGACACTGCCACCAACGTTGCTAAAAGGAACTCGTGCCTTCTTCTCGGATGCAAGCAGATCGCACACAAAGGAATCCAAGCAGCTGAATTTACTAAGATTTTTAATCCAAATCCCGAGAGGAACCTTTAGAACATGAGCCCTGCTTAGAACCGGAAGGGGAGGTCAACATCTAGCATGCCAGGAAACAAGACTGCAACCCAGAAATTTGCCATTTGGGGCAACGATGGACCGTGCAGAGCATGTCTGGGTAGAAAACAGAATCGTGCCACAGCCTCTTAGAACTTCTGCCTGCACAGAAACTAGCTCCCTGAGTCAAACAACCAACCCATTCAGTCTTTTGGCCAGGTTACAGACAGCAGTGACTCACTTGTTCTTCTGCAGGGAGAAATTTACTGTTTTAAATTTTACATTACTTATAGTCTGCCTATCTCACAGAAAATTAAGGCAGATTATACAGGTTAAGTCAATGCGATCAATAGGATGGGACACCCAATAAGCAATGTAATATGATCAGGACTGCGGAAATTAAAACCAAGTAAATATCTGGAACGAAGCTGACACAAAGTGTAAGTTAGTATTAACACGGCATTTTAAACTATGCAGAAATCACATTACGGGATAACACATACAGCAACAGACAGAAACAGGAGGATAGAAATTAATTTCATGAATGGGAAGTTCCCAAATGGGTTAGAGGGGGCTTAAGGGGGAGAAAAAGTGATTCTATCAATCGACAGGTTGCTTTCAGAAGGGAGTTTACGCAAAGGGATGGATTAGTCAAGCCTCAAGCGTGGAATTGTTGTGGAATTCACCTATTTGACCATCGGCTAGGCACTGGCTTCCAATAGTGTTCTGGATTCACTTCAAGGTGCTGTTTTTGACCTTTAAAGCCCTAAATGGTCTGGGGCCTGCCTACCTGAGGGACCGCCTTTCCCCATATGTTCCCCCAAGAGCACTGCGATCGGGAACGCAAAATCGTCTCCCCCCCCCCCGGCCTAGGGACGCTAGGTTAAGCGGCAACTAGGGCCAGGGCGTTCTCCCTGGTGGTGCCAACGCTGTGGAACGAGCTCCCTCATGAGATTAGAGCTCGAGGGGACCTCCAGCAGTTCCGTGGAGCCATTAAAAGGGAACTGTTTCGCCAGGCGTTCCAATAAGAACCGATTACGCTGGTGGTGTCGCATTAGCACTTTATCACAGGATGTATTCGCTGGGATTTTATGGAATTGTATTTTATATTTTGTAATTGTTGGTTTTAACTGAATGTTGGTTTTAAAAAGCTTGTGAACCGCTTCGGCAGGAGGGCGGGGTAGAAATCTAATAAATAAATAAATCTGGAGAATTTCACCACAGAATGCATGACAGAGAAAAGGCCTTCGGGAAAGAGGAATCAATCAAAAGTTCAACAACTTGGCAGAGCGTCATTTATTGTTAAATGAGCACTTTTAATCTAAATTATGCTTTATAATCTTTATGATGCTCATCTTCAGAGTTAGCTCGGTATGAGAATTGCCATGCATTATAATTTTTTCAGACGAGTGACTCGCCCAAGGCCACATACCGAGCCCATGGCAGAGGAGTGATTTGAGCATATCTCACCAAATGGGAGCCTTTTTAAAAACAAAAAAACCCTAAAGAGAATCTAGCCCAACTTGCCAAACAGACGGCTTGTTGGGTGATAGTGAGATATTGAAAAATGGTATTTAGCAGAGATAATATAGTCCAGCAGTGCCAGAGTAAAATAATTCAGACTGAGAGTCCATGTGTGATTAAAATATAATGTTTTTACTAAATTCTAGCATGGGAAGGGTAACTGGGATGAAAATAACAACAGAGCATAATCGGCGACATCCTTACTCTACAAAGACAAAACTAAAGGAGAGAGATTATTGCTACTCTTCTTCTTCTTCTTCAGAACACCAAACAAAGATGGGAAGAGAAGCCATAAAATGGTAATACACCTTGACACTTTAGTCCCAATCAAACCCTTAGATCAGGGAGAAAATTCCCGGGCTTTCTACATATAAAGAACATTGGTTACACGAGAAATATGTGACTTCCTGTGAGTAACATAAACAAAAATTTAACCCCAGATATACTGAGTGTTTTCAACTTGTAATACCCAACACGGCTTTCCAAGGAGCACACCGATTAGTGGGCGCAGAGCACCTGTTTTACATGCAATGGGTCCCGGGTTCAGTCCCTGGCACCTACGGCAGAAGGCTCTCGCATAGCAGAGCCCTAGAGAGCGGCTGCCAGTCTGAGTAAACGATACAGAGCCAAGCAGACAGCCGATCCCATCTCATGACTCAGCAGCTTCATCTGTTCCCCTGCAAGTCAACAGGGCCTCTATTCCTGCAGCGATAACAAGGTGGGGATTTCTCATGGCCAGGAGGCACCTAAGCCGGTGACGTCTCGTGCATCCAAGACCAAGAGAGGCCCTTCTAATTTCCAAGGCTGCATTTTGCAACACTGCACTATTGACCTTATTTGCTCATGGAAGTACCTGAATGGCAGGAAAAACCTGCAAAATAGCCTAAGAAACTGCAGACAGAGAGAGCGAGAGAAAGAGCAAGAGAGCGACTAAGCACTGGAAAAACTGCTTATGCTATGGAATAAGACAGAACAGAGGATTCATTGGCTGCATGTAGACTTATCTCTACCAGTAGTACTCACTCCACAGCTGACAGATGGCCACATTCGCACGGCTCCATCAACCAAAAGAGCCACAGGACTACTGAATGCCCTGTGTGCCACACGATGAAACACACATATATACTATAACAGAAGATAGGTAAAGGTTCCCTTGCTCGAAAGCTAGTCAAATCTGACTCGAGGGGGCGGTGCTCATCTCTGTTTCCAAGCCAAAGAGCCAGCGCTGTCCGAAGACGTTTCTGTGGTCATGTGGCTGGCATGACTGAATGCCGAGGCGCACGGAACGCTGTTACCTTCCCACCAAAGCGGTGCCTATTTAAAAAGGTAAAGGTAAAGGTTCCCTTGCTCAAAAGCCAGTCGAATCCGACTCTAGGGTTGCGGTGCTCACCTCCGTTTCAAAGCCGAAGAGCCAGCGCTGTCCGAAGACGTTTCTGTGGTCATGTGGCCGGCATGACTAAACACCAAGGCGCACGGAACGCTGTTACCTTCCCACCAAAGTGGTACCTATTTATCTACTTGCAATTTCTTGCTTTCGAACTGCTAGGTTGGCAGGAGCTGGAACTAGAGACGGGAGCTCACTCCGTCATGCGGCACACTCGGGTCTCGAACTGCTGAACTACCGACCTTCCACAGCCTGCAGTTCAGCGTCTTAACCACTTGAGCCACCGCAGCTCCTGGTACCTATTTATCTACTTGCAATTTCTTCTGGGTGGGGGCCAGAGACGGGAGCTCACTCCGTCACCGGCACTCGGGTCTCGAACCGCCGAACAACAGACCTTCCAATCTGCAGCTACTGGGCTTTTTGCTGTTTGAGAGGTGGGGTTTGCCATTGCCTGGCTCTGCGTCAGCCCCAGCTGTTCCCTGGAGGTCTCCCATCCAAATGCTAGCCAGGGCTGACCCCGCTGAGCTTCCGAGATCTGAGGAGACGGGGCTAGCCTGGGGCTATCCAGGCCACCTTCTAAATTAGCAGAGTACCTCCGAGCACAGAGAGCTGTCTCGCCAACCGATGCGGAGACTCAGCCACCCCTTCTGTATCGGGGGGGGGGAGACCCTCCCTGCCTTCTCACCCTCTCCTCAGCGGAAGAGTGAGGCTGCCAGGGTGCCAGGAGAAAAGGCAAGCTGGCTCTCTCCCAGGATGTTTGCCATGGGCAGTACTACTCTCTCTCTTCTGTGTCTCGCTTGGTTTGCCAGTTTGGTGTAGTGGTGAAGTGCGTGGACTCTAATCTGGGAGAACCGGGTTTGATTCCCCACTCCTCCACTTGCACCTGGCTGGATGACCTTGGGCAAGCCATGGTTCTGATAAGAGCTGTCCTTGAAAAAGAGCCGTTTCTGTCAAGAGCTCTCTCAGCCCCACCTACCACACAGGGTGTCTGTTGTGGGGAGGGGAAGGGAAAGGAGTTTGTAAGCCGCTCTGAGACTCCCTTGGGTAGTGGAGAGTGGGGTATAAATCCAATCTCTTCTCTTCTTCTCCTCCCAACAGCTGCCTGAATGCTGGGATAAGAGCGAAGAGGCAGCGGAGAAAGGTGGGGGCCCTTTG